ACCCCAAATAAAACAAACACACATACACTACAGTGTACCAATTATTAAATATTTTTGTTTTCCTCCTGATTTTCATTTTCTTTAACCTTAATTACTGTACCTTTGTAATAGACATTCTGTTTACACCTTTCACATTCTTTCATTCTTTTTTCCCCCCTTTTTTTCCTTTACGAAATTTTCATTATTTCTTTTTTCCCTTTTTCTTTTTTGGTTTACATTTTCAATCATAAGCAAAGTGATGTACAGCACCAATATCATAATGTTTACAATGCACACAAATTCAAAGTTCAAAATTTATGACAAAATTAAGAAAAAGAGACATTTCTCACATTATACATTGTAATTAATTAAAATGTAATAATAAGCTTATATATTTGCAAAATTACAGAAAATTAATCAATTAGGAATTAGGCTAACGCTTTCAGAAGAATATTTTTTTACACGTGACCATTTCATATTTGCTTTATATATGTTACATGCGTATTCATTTTCAATTTAAAGTTTAACCTCTAATGTAAAAGAAATCCAAATATTCGTTTTATCAATTTTTAGTTTTTTATCAATTTTCGTTTTTAGACATTCTTTATAAATGCAAAACGTCAGCAAAGACCAAAGCTCATTTACCATATTGTTGTTGGTTTCAACAATTACATTTATCCAGCTTATAGGTCTTACGCCAGGAAAGCACATAGTAATTATCTTGTTAAACCGTGTCTATATAGGCTTTATCTTTGAACACATAAATAACATATGGTGTTCGTCTTCTACCACTTTACAACAATTATTACACTTATCATTTGTGACTAATTTCCATATTTTTAGTCTTTTATTACATGGTAAAATTCGATGTATTAGTTTAAATAAAAACTGGGCAACTTTTGTGTTATATTTTATACATTTAACTCGGTGATACCATACTTCGTCCCAGTTAATATGAGTTATATTACACTCTAACTCCCACTTCTGTTCAGCTAGCGGAATGGTATTAATGTCTGAAATAAATTGCCAGTAATAAAAAGAGTTTTTTGTACCTTTTTTGAAGAAAGGATTGCCATTATTTTTATATTTTTTTACCTTATCATTTGTTCCTTTTGGAATTAACATTTTCCATTCTTTTGGTATTGCATTTATAAGGGTGATATATTCAATTAGCCCATTTTCTTTTTGTAAAAATTTTGGGATCAATTCATTTGGCGCTAATAATCTATCGTCTATTGAAATGTCACCTATCGATTTGTAACCTGAATTTATCCAGACTTTAAAGTACATTGAATTTTTGCCTACAGTTATAAACTTATTTTCCCATATTGGTTGATTCTTAACATCGTATATATTTTTGGGTTTTATGCTTACTATGTTATTAAACTTAACTACTGAATTCAACATTCCTTTATAACAATCGGACATGATATTAAGGTTAGTATGCTTTATAAAATTAAGTTTAGTCGCATTTACCGTGCACTCCAACGGATACAGATAATAAAGGGGAATGAGTTTCCATTTCCCAGGGTCTGGGCTTAAGAGTCTTTACCCAATTCAAAGCTAAAGAGTTGACCATTGAATGAAAGTCGACCATATTTAATCCTCCCTTTTCGACTCTTCGCATAAGGCATGTTCTTTTTATCTTTTCTTTTTTACCTCCCCATAAAAACGTCAATAATATCTTATCTACTTTAAGAAATACTTGTTTTGGAACATTTATTATACTGGCATTATATATAAGTTTGGATATAGCCATAGTTTTAATTATGGTAATCTTTCCGAAGAATGATAAATGTCTTTTTTCCCACAATTTTAGGGTATTTTCTAAATTTGTAATTTTGTCATCCCAATTCTTTTTCCTACATGTATTTTTATCATATCCTACTTAAATCCCCAGAAACTTTACAGGTTCTTTTGTCCAAACAATATTCAGAGGATTCGATAGATTATCTTTTGATGTGCCTAACCAAATGCCTTTTGATTTATCTTTATTTAACTTTAACCCTGAGACCTTACAAAAAGTTTCAAGTTCATTAAAAAATGAACATGGCTGTATTCATCTTATTATATTATCTTATATTTTCACAACTTTTTTGAATTTTTCTCGCTTTTATTTTGTGGCAATACAAAGCCTTTGCACAAGGGATTGCTCCTAATATTTTCGGCCATAATTTCCACGACTAGTGTAAACAATAAAGGCGAAAGTGGACATCCTTGTCTCAGACCACCTTGCATATTAAAACGATCTGAGCTCCATCCGTTATTTGTAACTATACATTCTGTGTCTGTGTATATTGTACTTATCCACCTTTGAAAAGATTTACCAAACCCAAATTTTTCATGAACTTTAATCATCAAATTCCTATCAATTGAGTCAAATGCCTTTGCGAAGTCTAAAAAGATCATTGCACCGGGTGTTAAGTGTTTATTTGAGTAAAAAAGAATATCGTTCACTAATCTTACATTTTCACCACCGAATCTCCCAGTAATGTAGCCTTTTTGATCATAATCAATAATCGACCCAATAACTGTTTGTAATCTATCAGAAAGGACGTGGGCCATAATTTTGTAGTCTACATTTAATAATGTAATAGGCCGCCAGTTGATGAACTTTTGAATAGTAAATTAATTATTCCCAATCTTTGAGTAGTACTTAACTACTGTTAGTTATAAGTTTAGGTAATTTATGTATTTTCGGTATGGTGTAGAAAGTACCCGGTGTAAGATTGTCAGGGACGAGGTTGCTTACCTTAGGCTTGAGATCAGGATGTAATTGGCTAACTAAAGTTTTATGTTCTTTTTTATATGAACAGGATGGGTCGGAGTTAAGCAGTTCGTAAAAAGACATCCGCCACTTAACCATACACACATCATCGGTCACTTAACCATACACCCACCATCGCTCACTTGCAACGCCTCAAATGTCATATATCTTATTTGGTGTACCCAATGTATGGATACTATATACGTCGGGGAAACTGGTTGCAAATTTAGACTAAGATGCAATAATCATAAAAAATCGATTAGAGACTGTACACTAGGCTTTCCTGTAGCTAAGCATTTTAACCAAGCCAACCATTGTATCTCTAACCTTAAGTTCATTTTAGTAAGTACAGGTTTTAATTCCCTCACCGACAGATGTTGTTGCGAATTAAAATGGATCTTAAAATTAAATACTCACAAAAATGGCGTAAATAAAGATTAAGATTTCTGACAGATTACACTTTTTATTAATCAATGCATTCATCCATCTTGATATATTTTATTCATCCTTTATATACTATTTAACTTGTTATATTTCATTTTCATTGGCTCAGGCTAGTGAGATCATAGGCCTACATTCGGCTAATTAGCCTTTTTGTTTATCTGTATTTTCTTTGTTGTTACCTCTCTTTATAATCCGGTCTAATTATACATATCATTTACAATTTATCTTAGTCACTGCTATATTGTTTATCCCCTATTGCTAGTTTGTAAAGCTTTTTTAATCATACGTGTTATCGCTGAGGAAGAGCACAGGCGTGCTCGAAATATTCGAAATAAAAAATTATCTTATGTTTATTATGTCAACGTATACGACTCTACTTTGTGCATTCGTACTCATTTTATATTATCAAGACATACGTGGGACCTACAAACATTATATATATATAATTAACTTTTTGTTTACTTTGGAAATAAATTTGTATTGATTGATTGAATTCTTATTGTTTGTTTGATTGATTGATTGATTGAACTTATCCTCGAGCATAAAGTAAATTAATAAAATCGCCCATACACGGCCTAGTGCGTACGTATTTGTTCGGTAACCAGGCACAGGGTGAAGCTATGCACACTGTGGTTTGACTGCACTAGTTTAAATTGGTATTGGCATGGACATTTGATACTCTTAATTTGACTAACAAATATTAAATTTTCAGTAATATGGCATGCTTATTATATTTCTTGTAAGGAAACATCAGATTGCAGTTAATTTAATTCAATTGAATAAAAAAAAATTATTCTACAAGTTCAAGCAGTAATATTACTTACTAATTATATTTAACGGTCGGTACAGTTTGTGATCGATCAGTGTGCCATAATACGATTAATATTATGTTGTCGCATTAACTTTACTTTACGTGAAACAGATCCGTGTATAATTGACCCAGGCGTACCTCACCTTTAAAACCAACAACAGCTGTACTCCTTGGTTACTTTGTGTTTAAGTTCCCAACATGCGAGTTTTATCAATGTATTCTCTTCCTGATACTAAACAGTTAGTTGACGGTTATTGGCAAGATGTATTCTCTACTACTAGGTAAGATAACTAACTTGACCACTTAGGTTCTTAAAATAAGGTAGTAGTATATGGGCATAATACTTGCATACATACATAGAGATTTTGTCAAAGTAGGAAAGATCAGATAGTAGGCTTTATAGCATGCCTGGCACCAACAAACGAGTCCGACAATAATAGTTTGAAAAAATTAGCAAATCTGGTTGAGAATGTCTTTGCCAAACAACATAAAGCAGAATCCAAAAGAATATAAATCAAGATAGCCGTTAACACTGTTAAAATATATATAAATCATCAAAGAAAGGTAATATACAGTGTTCGAATAAAGGACATGATAATACATCGTGTAGCATAGCTCTCAACAAATGTTGTCCTATAAATAAATTGTGCCTCTGTGTATATTTTACTCTAACACGAACCTACAAAATATTGAACGAGAACTTGTCACTACAAAAGCAAGACATTGCAGAATTCGTTATGCAAATTTAGGTTGGTACAGTGGAAGGTAGCGGAGTAATACAGTTGGTAAGTGGAACGCGTACCATTTCAGTGAGTTTGTATGTTCGCAAAATATCGAAATGTTAACCCCAAAAGTGATTCGATTTAAAACAATAATTCAATTTTTACCCTTATACTGTGACATTATTTTAGTCTATGTGGTCTGGCAATCATTAATATAATATAATTAATTTATATTTTATTTAAATAGTGGAGTAGAATAATCAATTTTTTTTAACAGATCGTTATTGGCACACTTCTACTTTGGAAGCAATTGTTTGGTAAGTTTCTAATATATTATTATATATTATTTTATCAACATTTAACTTTTGAAATTGGCGTTTCAGAGGATCTCAAATACAAAGCATTGGCCTAAGTGTCGATGATCTCGCAGTACTCTTTATCTGTACACATTCATTAAATTAAACAGCCAGCCATTGGGTAGAGTTAAATAAAAACAATCGTCGTGGTATTTACCAAAACGAATTTATGTACTGCAAATACAAACTTCTTCAAAAGTACTTTGTTTTAATTCTGATAATTATTGGTATTGACAGTTATTGGTATTTGTAACTTGTTATGTTTAGTTTTATAATTTATTGTTTATATAATAGCAACCGCATATTACTTTTTTTAGGTATAATTGCTGAACAGGTGGATGTAATTGACTTTGTAGGTTACACAAATTATGCGGCAGTCAAATCAGATAAAGACTGTGACATTATCAATGCAGTGATTCATCCTGACATAACTGAAGAATTATATATTGGCATAGCACTGTCCCCATTGTATGGGAGCCGCTACGATGAGACGCCGGAAGCTAGAACGGAATTCACAGAGGAAAACAGAGCAGAAACAATTGCAAGTACACTTTTCCCTTCAAACACTAAGGCCTGGTATAAGGATGAGGCAGATTCGTACAATTCGTTTCGAATTAGAATAGACAAACACTGTGATATTTGGGATCGCGTTGGTGTTTTCTACACTAAAGCTGTTTTAGACGGATTTAGAACAGCAATCGCGACGCTGCCATTACTCAGTGATGAAGGTAGGAAATAAGAGAAAATGAATGTATTCCATTGTATGGCGGGCTTACTTCTACTGAATGTGAACTGAAATAAGGAATTTAAATATTAACAGATACAGAAAATGCAAGAAAGCTAAACTGTATTTTTTTTTTAAAGAATTGCATACACTAATGTTTTATTTCTGCTTACCGAATACCAGCTACTCATCTTTATTCATAAATATGAAAGCATAAATATACAATACAGTAATACAAAAATATGCAAAGATAAGACATACAGATAAATAAAGATTAATTTAGTGCAATAAAATTGATTTCACAAATCTTGACATTTCATCGGCCTCATAGGCCACATTATTGTAGCTAGGGTACAGACCCAGACGAAACGTTAGACTATCTTAGCAGAGCTAAAGTCAGTCCCACTTGGAAATCTACTGAACACGAAGCCAAATAATTTGAATTTCCTAATTTCAAAGAAGTCGAAATGTTTAGTTTCCACGAAAACGGTTCGTCATCCACTGTGATGCATAGGCCTACTGCGCGGCAATACACAAAATGAATGGATTGATTGTTTAGGCAAATCCATTTTTGCATTATCAGAGCGTATTGACATTATTACTGATGTCATGTATGGGTCCACTACATGATTTACACAGTTGTAAGAAACATGGAGGATCCTCCATGGTCTAACCTGATCCAATAGATCATACTGCCTACAATAAACGTTACGGTGGCATATACGATCGGATTTATATATATAGCTTGTATTCCACTATTTGCATTCACACCTGGGCTGTGTATATATATTGCCTCGGTTTGGCTCTGTAATCATTAGTGGTCGTATGACTAGTTTGGGCCCTACCTAAGCTGGTCGAACGTTTCGTTTGGGTCTGTACCCTAGCTGCACTGATGAGGCCTGGAAGGTCGAAACGGATCCGTCTGTAGATATTGGGATTCCTTCCAGTGGATGCTTAGTTTATTTTGTCATTCTGATCGGATTTTCTCTACTGTTCCGTTTTAATTTTAAATAAACAGACTTTTATTGGTCTAACCATAGAGTGCAGGAATCAACAGACTTTAAATAATGCTTATGGTAATGATAAATCATAATGATAAAATGACCAAAAAAAAAATCCATTTTGTACTGTAGATCTTAGATTAATATTTATTACCTTTGCATTCACAATTATATAATATTATAATAACATATTTATACAAATGAATGCCAAGTGCTGAAACTACAAAGTTAATATACTGGAGTTTTATACTAATATATTCACAGAAGTCGACTGTTAATAAAAAAAATATACTGTATATTTCTTGCACTAGAAATTATAAGAAAACAACTACAATTAATAATAAAGTTTAGTTTGCAACTCATGTTTTAACCTCAGTGATTCTTACAGTAAAATTAAGCATCAAGAACATTGAGAATTTAATTTGATACAGAGATGTGTCACTAATATATAGAGGTAACTTGACAAAGCCTTTATGATGATGAGCTGAATATTGCACTGAAGAAACATTGTACAGTAATAGGATTTTATACATAACCTGTATTAGTACAGTAAAACAAAGGTTCCAGTTATTTTTTTTTCTTCGAATGCACATTACTAAAGATAAAATTATTAAGCAAAACCTGAAAAGACTGCTTCATTGAATTGCTACTACACTATACTAAATATCACTCACACCATAATATTATTAATAACAAAACAATAATATTAATAAAATATATCAATAGAAATAATTGAAAAATGTAGATTACAAAAGATCTGTCCACAGAACAAGATTTAAAACATGGATAGCAAATTTGTGGTGAGCTTCCTATCTCTGACTGGAGAAACATAATATGCATTATAATACAATATGATTAAAATATATTTGTACTAATATACAGATAATTTAGCATAAAATGTGAACAATACTAAAAAAAAATAATGTAAAACATTGGTTGGTCATTTAAAATGAATAAAAAAAAAAAACACCAGACATACTGTAAATTACAAAAAGCTTTCATTACTATACAGTGCATTCATTCAGTGATATGCAGTATGAAGCTTCTGGAAGAAATTTAATTATGTTACTAGTCTTGAGTGATGCTCTTGTGTTGAAAATTTCAAAGTAATGTACTACTCTATATTGTGTATGTTTTTGTATTATATTAAAATTTCACACTTGAACAATCAACATTTCACTATTGTACATACAATATCATTAAAATCCCACCTTGTTTTAAGGAATATAAAACCACAACATTGTTTGCGACGATATTTTTCACTTTAACACACATAACTGAACACATAATTATTAGTGTAGAAATTCACTTAAACCACCAAGCTATTCAACTCCACTGCAATAAACATAGTTCTACCAAAGGCTTTCCCTGACTGTATTGTTGAAGAGTTTTGGAAAAAACATACTAGGCCTACCTGTATACTATAGTTTTATATATTTTCTTAATTTTGAAATACACAAAAGCAAGTCCATACTCCATGATGCTATCGTGTACTACGGTATCGCTAGGCCAAGGTCTTGTCCTTACACAAAAGTAAATCTTCCATTTGTTGGGGTTTTAAAAATACATAGAAAAGCAGTATTTATAAGCTTGTTAACACTATATTTTAATTTCATACAAGTGTTTTATTTAATTAATGATAAGATTCGTTTCAAACACTAAAAATCCATTATTGGGTATACCTATCCGTTACTACAGAGAAGGTTAGGAAGTGGTTACTTGCTAACGGAGATCAATAATGATCAATGACTAAAGTTAACAGAAAGTCAATTGCATTACTTCTCACAAGTTAACAATTACGTATGTACTAACTAATTGCAGAATCGTTTGTTAATATACACTTCAATTTCCTAGTTATCCAGTGTGTTTCATTGCTACACATCTTAATATAATTAATTATTTAAAGCAATTTAATGTTGCAGAAACAAACATAATCGTTAATAATATTTACAGAAAGTTCAATATCGTCAGCAACAGTTAACTCTGACCAGTCCGTACACTTGAAGCAACCTTGTAAGCTTTCAATCGCGTGTTTATTGCAAATTCTTACGGTTCCGGAATCTCATAAATGTCTTGTCATATCCATTATCTCGTAATTTGGAGCACAGTGTGGTTCAACTTCTATCCAAATATATTCAGATTTCACTTTCTTTTCGCGATGAATATATTTGGATAGAAGTTGAACAACATGTGCTCCAAATTACCGATCATGGATATGACAAGACATTTATGAGATTCCGGAACCGAACAGTAGCACTGATCCAAAATATTAATAATATCATCAATACCTGTACATATTAAATATCAATGAAAACGTTCATTAAAAATATTATATACAATATTTCATTTAGGGCCTAAGTATAATCATCATTATTAAAAGAAGTATAGATTATAATTTAAAATTGAAAAGTCTAAAACCGCAAAAAACTGAATAACATTACAGTAAAAGAAAAAATGAATAATAAATAGACATTAAAAATTGAATTTTAAAAAAACGGTTACCTATAGATCTGATTATTAAAACATCTTGAAATAGTGGATGGATAGGTTGGGATAGAAGTCGTGTGACCATGTTTAAAACAACATTTTTATAAACTTAATATCACATAAATTTGAAAATGACATCTTACTCGCTCTACGTCTATTTGTTTAATAGACCTGTGCTTTTAGTGTGTGTGTGGTGGACGTGGGGTGACTTCTACCCCAGACGATCAAACAAAAATAAATCACACTGGATATCATATCATGTATAATACATTTCAAGAGCTTTTGTTTCAATTTTGAATTCACTTAATTAACGCATCATATGTAGGCGGTTTTTTTCTTTCTTGTATTGCTTAGTCGTATTAGAATTCCATTTAAGTTGATCGTCTAGTGGTACCTAAATATTTAGATTCTGAAACAATATTGATGACATCATCACCGATCCTAAGATCATTTTATTCTTTCTGAAGTCAATAATCATTTCACAAGTTTTCTTAGTGTTTAATATAAGATAATGGTCCTTGCACCACTTGGTAAATCTGGACACTTCATTACAAAAGTTATTAAGGGAATCAAGCCAACAAGCACAGTGTCATGTGTGTGCTTGGCCGCCATGAAGGATCAGACACAGGGCAACAGTCGTTGGTGTAGAGGATGTGCAGCAAAGGTGCAAGGACACACCCTTGAGGAGAACCAGTGTTATTGTAAAGAGTAGATGAGAATTTAAGGTGCCGAGGTCTATTGGAAAGAAAACGTTGGATCCAAAGAGAATTTAAAAAGGGTTGAAGTTTATAGAGTTTAGATAAGAGAAGATGAGATTGAAGAGTGTTAAAAGTAGAGAAAAAATCGAAAAAAAAGAGGCGGATGTATGATGTGCCCTTTGAATCAAGATGTTTATGGATTGAGTGAACAAGTGTAACTGTAGCATCTTCCACACCACGATGCGCCCTGTATGCGAACTACATGGGGTCAAGCTTGTTTTCAACTACAGGTTTAATCAAGCCGGCAATGAACTGTTTTTAGACACTTCATAACTAACTTTAGGTACAGGCACAATTAGGGAATATTTTCAAATGGAGGGAACAACCGAAGAAATTCAATTGAGTTGAAAAATATATTGAAATACATATGCTAAGTGCGACGCACACTCCCTTATAAGTTTACTACCAAGTTTATCGATACCGCAACCTTTCTTGAATTGGTTTCACGAAATAGCTTCATTACCTAATTGACTAATATATTAACGTTATCCTTTAAAACAAGCCCATAACATATATCATTTGACTTATCTTCAAAATTCATAGTATCAAAATGGTATCAAATCTAGTGTAAAAAAATATTAAGAGAATTAACAAGGCTTTTGTCATTAAATCCAGGGGGCATCTGAAACGATAATAAAAATAAAAATGCAAAAAAAAAATATCATGTCAAAAATTATGTTTCTTTATTTTAACGTTTTATTAAATAAATGATATAGAATTTGAGACCTAAATTGTGTTATCAGCATAGTTTGAAAGATTTTCTGAATGAAATTAAATTGTTGGGGCTAATGATTGCATTTTTTTATATCATTCCATAACTTAGGACCATAGAATTTAACCAAAAGCAATGAGTCTTTGTAAGTCTTACAAAAGGAATGTCTAGTTTTCTTATATTTCTGAAATTATATGCATTACTTATATTACTTGTGCAAAAGATATTTGAAATTCAAAGTTGTTTAATTTCTGCATGGTAAGCAATATAACTATAGATATATCAGTCATCAACTGTTTTATTCTATTTAACAATTCTGAACCTAGTAATAAGGCCTAAACATAATTCAGCAAATATTAATTAAAAAACTTTTGGGACACATATGTTCATTTCTATTCTTACAAAACAAACTATTTATAAAGAAGAATAACAACAGCAACAACATAATTATTAAGACGGAAATATAATTCAACTAAAGTAGACTTAAAAAATAATGTAAAAAAATTGTTCATCATTTTGAGATCTTCAGCTTGTAATCTTTTTTAAATTTCAGCTAATGTTCAACCTAGAGACAGAGTGGTAACGGTCAGTGTTGGAAATGAACATATGTTCATTTCTATTCTTACAAAACAAACTATTTATAAAGAAGAATAACAACAGCAACAACATAATTATTAAGACGGAAATATAATTCAACTAAAGTAGACTTAAAAAATAATGTAAAAAAATTGTTCATCCTTTTGAGATCTTCAGCTCTTTTTTAAATTTCAGCTCATGTTCAACCTAGAGACAGAGTGGTAACGGTCAGTGTTGGAGACTCAACTGTGACGTTAACTGTCGAAACTGATGAATTCAGCCTCAGATGGAGAAAAGATGGCGGATCAGAAATAGAGGAATGGAACGATCTGAGCTCAGTAACGATCAACAACGTGCGATTAGCCGATGCTGGAATATATGAGTGTTACGTCACCGGTACACGAGCAGAGGCAAAGCATGCTTTCATTGTTCTCCATGTTAGAAGTAATTATTATTATTATTATTATTATTATTATTATTATTATTGTTATTAACTAACAAGTACTAAGAATTGAATTGCTTTGTTAATGTTGAAATGATCTAGTTTAGTTTACGCTAAAAGTAATTTTTTTTTGTAAACACTAAGCCTCCAAATTATTGATCATGTTATATTAGGTCTATTATGTTTTTGGTCGGTGTAAGCTGTACCCAAGAGTTGTAGTTTCTCCCAGTAGAGTTTATTGTTCAATTTAACTGCTTTAAATTGTTGATACCTTTGGTTTATTGGGATATGTTAACTATGTTTTGCTGCTTAATTATTCTTTTAAACCGTTTTGTTTGTGGTCGGAAAGGCCCCGTGAACCAAACTGGACGACAAAATGTAAATACAGATCTGATAATGACGCAGTAAACGTGGTGCAGATAGCACTATAGGCCTATCCTACCGCGACGTGTTTGAAATATATATATATATATATATATATATATATATATATATATATAGGCCTACCTTGAAATTGCATTTCCTTAGAACATAGTTCTACATTCATAATGATTGTAAAACGGTTGAACGAATTCCAAACCTATTGCTGAATCTCTTAACATTCTTTGGACCAAATTTAATTCAATGATACTCGAAATCTTTGCATCTCACTCCCAACTCGCCTCATACGTTATTAAAGCTGTTGAATTATAGAGGAGAAGTTAAAAACTGTCTATAAGTAACTAAAAAGAAAAATGAATTATTAAATGTCTATTGCTTATGGATACAATTTTCAGTAGCATTGCACAAAATCCATTATATTTATAACATGCTGATAAATATTATTAGTATCAATGACAATGCATATTATTATACTAATAAATGTTATCATCTTTTTATTCATAATTAAAATTACTTGATGAAATGTATAAAATAGGAACGATAAATATATTATATTATCAAACATACTAATTAATTTTTTTAGCATGTCCTGCTTCTAGATGGTCTCCACCGTTGTGTTTATCGTGGTGCCCAGTATGCTACAACGGTGGTGTTTGTGACGTGGACTTTGGTATATGCTTATGTACCACTGGTTTTAAAGGTGATAACTGTGAGATATGTGAGTATCCGAATTGTATAGTACTTCATGGCTTAGTCAAACATGGAATCAGTACTACTGATCAACCTACTGAAAAGAAACTTTGGTCCAGACCCAGACGATTACCTTTAAGTAACAATTGATCAATTTTGTATAAATTATATTATATTAATTATATTAAATTATACATTATAAATGTTGCTATACGAACCAATACTACCAAAACGTTAAAAGACATGAAGGAATTACTTTCTTCCAAAGCAATATCTGGAGCTTTTCTTTCAGGTTTATTGTAGTTAATTTTCCTTGTTTTTTGCTATTCGGCATTTTATATGATTTATCTTTTTTTACTACCAAAAATTCAATTCAAAAGTAGCATGTATTTCCTTCAAAACGTGAATTACAATCTTCATTGAAATTTAACAAATAAATTTTAAATGATGATAATAATAATGGTAATAGAGTATTTCAATAGATGAAAAATTATTATAAAAAATACATACATATTTGGAATTATAAGGGAAAAAATTAAAGCTACTGTTAAATAGTAAAATATAAATTAACATATGAAAAATGATTTAAACAATATTATTATTGATTAAATAATGTTTCACTTTAGAAATGAAGATTTTTTTGGATGGTGAATCAGTGAGGTTTAGAGGGACCGAATTCCATATCTTAGGTTCAGTGTAGCTAATATTATGTTGAAATGAAGTTTTTTTTGTGTTTGGGAATGTGGAGTTTATTTGAGATCCTGGTACTATAGTCATGTTATTCGTTATTAGGTGCAAATATAGAACATAAATGAGATGGAAGAATGGAGTTTAAACTTTTATGTACAAAAGAACATTTTTGAAGTGTATTAAGACCTTTAAGTTTTAATAGTTTTAGAGAAGGAAATAAGGGATCAGTACTAGTTCTTGGTGGGACGCCAGTTTATTAAGATTAGATGGAAATGTGTTACACCATGACAAGTATGGAAGAACAAGGGAACAACAGAGAGTGCGGAGAATATTATTGGGAAGAAATGATGCCAGTCTATATATTATACCAATATTTTTTGCAATTTTATTTTCAATTTCAAATATGTGGGGTTTTCA